CAAGCTGAGGTGACTTACCTGCGGGTTGCTTGTTTCTGCAAGATTTTGACACTGACCTTCCACCTTTAGTCTCAAAACTTCATAATTGACTTCTTCAATTAAGTTCTCAGCACTGTCCACAGCATCTTGAAGCTCATTAAGCCACTGGCTCACGTATGGATTTGACGCCTGCTTATTCTGTGCATCACTTAGCACAGCCTGAAGACCGAGCAAAGTCATCCTCAGCTTCTTTAAAATCCGAAGATCGTGCTTGTCCCTTCGAAACATATTCAGCAGCTCTCCCTGAGGAGCAAGCCTATCGAACAGGACTTGCAGGACTGAAGAGAGAAATGCACCACCAACTGCTAAGCCAATATCCATTTCTGAAAACTGCAAAACAAAACAAAGAATCAAAAAATGGACAAGAATGGCAAAAATTAAAGATGGTTGTCTATTTTTGCTAGAAATTAAGAGATTGAATTTACCTGTTGAATTCTAGAGCAATATGGAAACAATTTGGTGTTCTTAATTTGCAATAGCTATCTCTTTGGTCAAAGAAAGAAAAGACAAACAATTTTTTTTCTCTTTTCAAAAAGATTGCAATTTTCCACAGCTTTGCTGTCACCATCTTCACTTTGTTATATTTTACTCTATTTTTCTTGTCTTGAGTATCAAATTCCATACAATAATAATTTATTATTGGTGGACACCATCATTATATAAAGGAAATGAGTAATATAATTCTAAGAAAGTAGCATTTGATTATTGAGTGGGTTATTCTCAAGATGATTATGGTCCTTTTTTAATATAAAGAGAAAGGAAAAGCAAGTGAATGCCATGATAGGGATTTTTTTAATAGGAACTATTGGTAAGAATCCCTTCATTCTTGATTAGAGATTCCGGGGTTTGAACTTGGGATATGGAGTCTTTATTGAGGAGTCTTTCAAATATGAGCGCAGATTCAAATTTAGTCAGCCCCCAATACAGATATTGAACACCGAATAGCAAATAAACAAGAAATACCACATGATAGGCACTGAACTTTCCTTGCGTTACTTGACAGTTCCAGAGTAATGAAGGATGTCATTGTAACACCATTAGGCAAACACCACATCAGCAAAACATAGGAGAGATACGGAGTATATAAAGAAGTGAGCCTTAGACCCAAGTGATGTGTTTTAAAACCGTCCATCCAAGCCATTGCCATTATGTTCAATCACATAAGAATAAATGCCACTTAAAGATTGACCAACTTTCCCTTCTCGACTTTAGCAAAGAGACCTTCAACACTTTCCCCTTCTCAAATAATCACTGAGCCATATTGAAATGAAGACAATGTCGACGGTAGTGACTTGGAAATTACAAGCTCCTTACTCAATATGCAAACAATACGGTAGGAGTATATTGACTGTGTGCTTAATGACTATCTCCCTGGTCAAAGAAAGAAAAGAGAAACCATTTTTTTTTCTTTTCTCAAAAAGATTGCAATTTTCCACAGCTTAGCTGTGTCCCTCTTCACTTTGTTATATTTTACACTCTTTTTACTGTAAGAGAAACAATAACATGAATGCTCATCCTAGAAGTTGAATAAATCTGATTAGAGAAAGCAGTCTAACGTTCAGCTAAGAACAAGAAACTGAGAGGGAGGGCCTTCAAGTTAACGGTTGAATTCACAAATCAACGAAGCTATTCCTTTTCAAATTAACTTAAGTGCTTCCAAAATCAAAACAAAACATTGTTCTTAGATCCCCATCAAGTGGAGATGATAATTCTCCAATTTTACGATCAACTACACCTCAATCCTAAATCAGCTGGCATTGACTATATAATTCCTCTATATTCGTTCCCCTATATTAAGGCCCATTTCATCCAATGCTAAATGTGAAGATATGATACTTGAGCCTAAACCAACCCCAAAAGCTAGCTTATGAGTTACTTTTTAGTTTTGATTCCAGCTCCTCTATTGCCTTCTATGGTGGAAGGACTTCTTTTCCTTACAATTGCATATTTCAAATTGTGAGAAGCTACTGCTCTTTTGTGAAATCTTACTGTAATCAGGAAATGCTATTGGTGGATAGAAGTGGATTCTGAACTCGCAATATCTTAATGGGTTATATATATAAAAAAAATGTTGAACCTTCAAGCTGGAGAATGGCGAAGTAGAAACGATTAAAGCTTGTTTGGATGTTTACTACCTGTCGTTTTATAATGCTATATTGTAGGTGAATACAGTGTTTGAATAGATTGTATCATTTGTTGTAATTTAATACTAAACTTTTTATTGTGAGGTTTGACTCTATCTGCTAAAACGTTCCAATACGTTAGAACTCACAAGAGAGTAGTAGAAAAACTCAATAAGTAACAGACCATATCTATTGATTAAACAACAGCTGCAGTGAGGTCACAACATGAAGAAACTGAAACTAGAATGTGAGCAGACATTAGCCATCAATTTTGAGTCTGCCTCACATTTCCATCATCTGAATAAATGACTAGGTAAAATTCCAATAAAATCATTCAGTAAATCTGTTCTGAGGTTCCACTCTAGGTGAAACCAAATAGAGAAATGGAAAAAGATTTGAAGAATCTCAAAAGTTATCAACTTAATGGTTAGAACTTCCGTCCAAATCTCTTTAAAATCACATTAAAGAAATGTTGTTTGACAGTTAACCTCAGTATTTACTATCAAATGAAGTTACATCAACATTGAAATCAATGAGACACAACATCATACTTGCTAGAGGTGAATCCCGAGTACCCTGACCAAAGAAGATAGCAAGAAGATGCACAACTGCAACTGGTGTTCCGATAACTTTGCAACCTCATTTCAAGCGGCTCTTAAGATTCTCTTTTCTCTACAAAAGAAATAAATGTGCACGCTATTATGAGTATCAGGACCCAACAATTCTAAATAAAGGCAGGAGCACCAATAAACTTGAGATTGCACAATAAAAAAATGTTGTTGAAGTGGCTTTGGAGATTTAGCAGGAATGAAGGAGGTTTAGATTAAAATGAATGAAGCAATCTATAGTAGCAGACAAGGCTGGAACCTTCAAATATTTTATACACTAGAGGGGGAGTATGGAAAGGGATTTGTAAATTATTGGCCGAGTTTAAACAATTCACTAAATTGGAGGTGGGGAATAGAGCAAAAATTAGACTTTGGACTGACTTATGGACTGGTGATGAGTGCTTGAGACAAAGATTTCATCTCTTTTTCAGTTGTTGCAATAATAAAGATGGAGTTGTGGCTGATTTTTATTCCAACACTGGACATCAGATGAATTTTAGAAGGAATCTGAATGATTGGGAAATTGAGGACTTTTGTCAATTATTCCTTCCACTGGATTATACCCACATTGTCAGAGTAAGGGGGATAGATAGTAAAGATGGAACCTTTTCGGTAAAAAGGTGTTATAGTCTTCTAATGAAGCAAACAGGCTACTGGGATAATAGTTGGCCATGGAAAGGGATTTGGAGAACTAAAGCTCCTATAAAGATAGCTTGTTTTGGTTGGATTGCAGCATGGGGAGCTTGCCTTACTCAGTATAATCTTCAGAAAAAGGCTTTTGCCCGAAGTAATAGATGTTACTTATGTGAAGAAGAGTTGGAGACTGTGATTTATCTTCTTATCATTGCAGGATAGCTAGACAATGTTGGGAATTTTTCTCCAGTATTTACATAATTTGTTTTGTTGGTGTAAAGTAGTATCTTGATAATATGGATAAATATATGGAGTTACTAGGAAGATGTTGTAATTGACTATATCCCAGCAGTCTTTTGTAACTTATGGTTTTGGTACCTTCTTGGTACTTACTTGGTCAATAAACATGTACCTTATCAACAAAAAAAATAAAAAAATAACAAGACTAGGATGATCAAGAACGAGCAACGAGAAAGTGAGGTTGCCTTACTTCGGACCTATATATCGGAAGCAGACATTGAAAGTCATCTCCAATCTCTTTAGTATGAGACAGGAAAAATTACAAAAAAGAAAGAAACAAGAAGTTTTTAGAAAGGATATCATGAACACTGAACATACCAGATGAAGTGACCATCAATCCAAATAGTGAGGGTTTTAATGAAATCCTGAGTCAGTTCTTCCCTTGGGCAGACATATAGAAGCAAAACTCTCAGTTAGAAGTTGTGTCCCAAGGCAGATAATGGACACCACTTGACATCAATCCGACACAGTCTGGGTGTGGCTGAGGGATAGACTACATCAATTACAAACAAGTATAGGTTAGTCAGGTTTTTAGTTACAATTTTTTCAGTTTATATACACACAAACACAAAAGCTATTGCACCAAATATCCAAATAGTGACAAAAGCTCAGTAAGTGCTATCAAATGCAGTCACATCAAACTTTAAATCAATGCGATAGACCAGCCTTAAATAATGGAAGCAGATATTGAAGGCTTTTTCCAATTTCTTTAAATTTCAAGGTTTTGGCTACCTGACAGATAAAGTGAGGTTGCATTCCTTTGAACCCTTTATCTCTGTGGAAGAGACGAGAAATGGGGAACAAAACCGAACAACTTTCATGATAGCGAATAATTTTTCCAGTCTGCAAGTTGAGGGAGAACATAGTAGGTTAATAGACAAGAAAAGAGAGTCTTATAAGATTTTTTACATTGACAAAGAAGAATTTCATCCCAATCTGAAGATGAATTGCTATTGAGATGAATTTCCAAAGGCAATAAACATATATGTACATGGTAATTTCTAGTTCATTAAGATTTCATCTACAGTAATCCCATCACCTTCTTTTTTTTTCAGCTAAAATCAAATTCATCCTGATCTGAAGATGATTCCTCAGCTTCGCATTGGCAATAGACACTTTGCACTGCCAAAGATTTAACAAGGGAAAAGAATTACGAACAAGCAAGCAAAGGGAAGTAAACAAAAAAATTTAAAACAAAGAATGAACTTACATTTATCAGAGCACCATTTCCTTTAATCATTACTGGAATTCTCCATTACTAATTATGGTGGAAATTTGAGCAATTTTTGGCCAGTATTCTCCCTTGTCGAATTGTAGGAGTGGTTTGAGCAATGGGCATTTGTAAATAGATAGTTTAGAGATGGAAGGGGGCATCTCTTTTAGTGGAAGAGATCGGAGATTAGGACAATTCAAAATGTACAGCTGAGAGAGAGAGGAGGGCATCCCCGATTCAGGAAGAGATTGGAGATTAGGACAATCCCAAATGTGCAGCACAGAGAGGGAGGAGGGCATCCCAGATTTGGGAAGAGATTGGAGATTAGGGCAATTCCAGATCTGTAGATGTCGAAGCCGGGTGAGATGCTGAAGACCTTCGGTTGGTAGTGAATGGAGATGATGATGGCTAGTTAAATGTAGCTCACAAAGAGATGAGGGAAGCCCTTCTTCCAGCAGTGACTGAATTTGAGGTAAATTATAAGTACGTAGATATTTAAGAGAGGTCAGGCTTTTGAGAAGTTGGCTGCTTAATGTTTTCAGATTGGATATGGTAAGACTTTGAATAGAGCTAGGCAACTCCCAGTTTTCACCAGCAAGATCACTGCCATCATGGCTGATCTCTAACTGTTCGAGACGGAGGAGTCTCTGTAAATGCCACTCCTTTTGGCCATTCACCAGTTTCTTGCACTTGTTGATCCAAAGGACTTGTAAATTGAAGGGCAATCCTCCTTCAGGAAAGGAATCTATTTCTGGACAACGCCATAGTTGCAGTTCCTTAAGAGATGGAAGGAGTTCCTGCATATGCTCTGGCAACGACTTCAAAATCTTGCAGTCGTGAATATGCAATGATGTCATCTGAGTCCCACATGCCACTGAAAGTATCTCAAGATTATCACAACCTCTAATACTGAGTCTTTCAGTGGCAATAGGAACCAAAAGCCTATTAAGGTTGTGGCAACTACTTACATTCAAATAGGGTGCTCTTGGGACAAACTGAGGTGAATCACATCCTTTTAAAGACAGTTCCTCGAGAAACATAGCATTCATGGACGCCTCCAAATTTAGTTTCCCACAACCAGATATTCTTATTCTCTTCAAGGTACTCGGCAGAATGCTAATTGGTAAGGAGGTAAGAGACTTACAATCAGTAATTACTAATTCAACAATCTGTTTCATTCCTTCAAGTTGAGATGTAAACAGTTGAGCATCCTCAAAAAGAACTCCAACCTTAGGACAACCAACAACTTTTAACTCTTTTAAATTTGAAAGTCGGATAGGTGTCTCCAAACTGAGTTCAGGGCAGTTCGAAATTCTCAATCCTGTCAGAGAAGAAAGATTTTCAGGCAATTTTCCTATAAACTTTGGGCAATCTTTAATCGAAAGTTCCTCGAGTATAGGGAATTCTCCCTTCCCCAGTACATGCCACTGCTTCCAATCCGGCATTTCTGCAAAGTCAAGCTTCTCAAGGGAGTTAAATGGCTTTTTAGAGGACAAACTACCATAGAACTCTTCAGTCACCTCTGTTATTTGATGCATCCCTCTAATGGTAAGGAATTTTAAACAAGGAAGTTGTCCTAGTGCTGGCAAGGAATCACAGTCCTTGCAGTAGCTAAGAGACACTTCTATTAGCTTATGAAATGAATTATCAGCTAGCCAATTTGGAAATTTTGTCCCTCTATATCCGGTAATTTGGAGTACTTTTATGTTTGTATTTGGTTGTAGCTCATCAAGTATGTCTCTTTCAGTTTGTGAATTGTCAGCAAAACTTCCGCTCCACTCCAAAGATAACCTTTCAACGTGTTTCTTTTCCCTCATATTTGCCTTCATAGATTCCCTTCTATCAATCACATTTTGCAACTCTAGAATTGATAGAGATCCATACAAGTTATGTAGTTCACCCAAATCTTCCATTCTGGAACCACTGCGACCACTTAGAAGAAACTTGGCTCCCACTAGCACATGGAGACTTTTCAACTTGTTCAGATGTAGGGGTCTCCTCAAATGAGCTTCGCTAATGTCAAGGTGACGCAAGTTGATCAATTTTTCCATAAGCAGAGGTAGCTTATAAAGATTACTACAATGTGACAAGAGAAGTGTCTCTAAGTTGTACAGTACACAAATTGAATCTGGCAACTTTTTTATAGCTGTCCAGGAGAGGTCCAAAAACCTTAGGTGCTTTAATTTGATAAACAAGT